TTAGAGACGTTCTGAATTCCGTCGCTCTGATCTGTCTCTTTGTCTTTATATGTTCAGATTACACACCTATTGACTGCCTCCGCGCTTCCATTGGCCATAGTCCGACGTCCTGTAGTCCAGCGCACCGGCGTAAACGCGACGCACCATTTAGCGCGGCGCGATGATTCATATCACATATCATGCGTCGCTTTTACGTCGAATGTCGGCAATGCGACAAAGAAAAGTCTGAAGGGGATTGTTTGTGAACTTGACGTATCTCCCATAGCTATAGTAATCTCTTATATTGATAGTTCGCTCGCTAGTAGCTTAGTTCGCTTATCTGCTCTTTTCCTACCTCCAGCAGGTCTTCTTCGTAATTCCATGCCGAGCTCATTTGTGTCGTGTCTCTGCTTTAGATCGCCTATCAGACGAGTAGCAAGGTAGACTGTATAACTGTTTTTAGATCTGTTTTAATTTTGCCTGTGGCAACGCTTATGGCGGATTTGGCTCAGATTGTTGGTCTCCATGGCCAGGCATACGAAACATGTTTCAGAGAGGTATCGCTGCTTTTATATTGATGTTCGATTGACGGAATCGCGTTTTTCAAAAGAATAGATGGTGAAAAATCATTTTTGCTAAACCAGTGTATAGTATAGCTGGTAGCCGGTATGCCGAGTGGGACATCTGAAGCACTGTTTGAACCCATTCATAAGCTGGTAATCAATATCACGTAGATTTCATGTATAAGAATCCTAACGACTCAAGTCATACTTTCAAGCGAATTACTGTACCCGAAAACTGAACTGAATGTGAATTCAGATGGGAAAGTTTCAGTGCTCTAGGAAATTTTAGTATTTCTGATGTGGTACAGGGTCAAAGTTATGTTCTTTTCCCTTTGAATTTAAGAATATCTACGAATAGAGCCCTGTTAAGAAAGGCGGAGTTGTGATACTTCATGATGACGAGTAGTAGATGTATGTAAGGGTTATGACTGATTCGCCTATGTGCATTCAATATTTGGACAGCGCTTTGTTTTCAGGCAAATCCTGCAAATAATCCCACAGTCCCTGCCGGCGAAGCTGCAGCTTTTTTGAAACGTTCCATTTTAAATGTGCAGCAATTAGGACAGGTAAAGCAATTTGGATATCTAACTACTATTCAGTTGAATTTCGTGTGGTCTAACGATATTTCCACAGATCTGGGAACTGGCAGACTATCAGAAGAAGGGCGCTTTGGACAAAAAGGGATTCTTCATTGCATTCAAGTTGGTTGCTGCAGCTCAACAAGGTTTGCCTTCGGCCACTTTGTGTTCGGCCGTGATCATGTCATTTCAAATTAACAGCACTGTTCGACTTCAGGATTCCCTATTTCTCCAGCATCTATTGGGTTACCTAATCTGCATCCTCCGCATTTCGAAGGCGTTTCCGATAAAAACTTCGGAGCTTCGACTCAGCCATTCTCCCATAACGGATCGATGCCATCACACGCTACCGAGTGGTGCATTAATGCAGCCGACCAGGTTTGCTTAAGACACAGTTGTTCTAATAATAGAGTTTCAACCATAGTTTTTTTTACAATATTTATATTTGGCCTAATTATTTTTTTACGTTGCTTGACATTAGGCGAAATACGATTCGATCTTCGAATCGTTATCTCCTATTGATGGGAAGCTTCCTGGAGCGAAAGTTCGACCGGTTTTGCTGAATTCTGGTCTAAACCCAACGATTCTCGCAAAAATATGGGAATTGGCAGATCAAGACAAGGACGGCCAATTGGACAGAATCGAAATGACGGTCGCCATGCATCTTGTCTACAGGTGTGTCTTTGATGATCACCATTCTTGTGACTCGCAAGGAATTACTATTGCAGAGCTTTGCAAAATGAACCTGTTCCCGCTGTTCTCCCAAGTAGTCTGATTCATCCATCAAAGATGTCACTGACAAGGCGTACATCAACCGCTTCTGTGACTTCCGTTCATGGTGGCGGTGGGCTGCACAATTTTCCAATGCCGCCGCCTGCTCAGTTCAATCCAAGTCAAGCCAGTGAGTAACTTGCAGCAAAGTACATTGATATGCTTACCGAAACGCTTCCCAAATTTCTAGTTCTCTTGAGTTTGACAAGGGAAAAAATTAGATGTGGGCATGTTCTTGGAGCAGCTTATTTTGAGGATATGGTCTTAGGAGTTCTTGCAAACTTCCGATGTTAATTGTTCTCAAGACTCTATCCCCAATTTCGGAAAAATTTATGTCCGCAGTAGAGCAAAGATGATCGGTGACTATAAATTTGCCTCCGAAATTGTTCTTCCCATTGTCATTTCCTCTATATTTCCAATACTGGCCACCCAGTTTTGCCACAAATCTAAGCTTTGTTTACAAGCAGTTTCCGAAAAGGAAACTCATATGTTGTCCCTTGTCACCTCGAATTAAGACAGTTCAAATCCGACCGCCCTCTTAGCTCCTACCGCGCCTTAGTCTCGTAGCTTTCGGGCCACAATTTACCTAAATTTTGACCCACTTGTGTTTGCCTTTTGGAAATCATTTCTAAAAATTCGCAGAGCACTGCATTGCTGTTTCTTCTTTTCTTTGCAGAGCAAATTTTCAGACTATCGCTCACGTACTGGAAGTATGACTTCTCTGGACGGCGTTGGCCATACCACCAGGCCTCCCCCTGTAGAAAACAGAAGTGCGTCAGTGCAGCCGAACCAAGGACCAAGAAATGAAAGTGCGGTTAGTATTCCATTCTAAGCATTCATTGAGGTTACTTTTGAAAATCACCTCATGCTTTCAAAAAATTGTTGCGTTTCTAGCCAGCAACGCCTATTCGTGGCATGGGGGGTCAACTATCAATGTCTGTTGGAAGTAGTAGCAATTCATCCCTTGAATGGCCAGTCGATCGCCTTGCATCTGCCGCACAATTCGCTGCATGCGACACGGATTCTGACGGTTTAGTGAATGGGAATGACGTGAAACATGTGCTACTCGGATCCGGTGTGTTTTTGCTGTTATAATAGTGTCCCAGACGAAAGATGTCTTTTCTTCTCTTGACGTGTTTGGCAATTAAATGAATAAGAGTTGTAGACATACGTGTAATTGCTACTTTAGCTGACGCATGTTGCATAGGGTGCGCGCCATCGCAGTCTATATTGTAGTATGACAATCACTGCTTCGATTCTCTTTTCCAGCATTTAATAGCAATGACTTCTTTCAGGGTTACCGCAACAGGCACTTGCACACATATGGGCGCTTTGTGACATCAACCGCACTGGCAAGCTTAATCAGGAGCAGTTCGCACTCATGTGTGTTTTCGATTTTACAAACGGAAATTTTAAATATCGTAATCAAACATTGTTTCAGCATCCATTTGGTGAACATGAGAAAGCGCGGCGAAGAGTTGCCTACAACGTTGCCACAGTTCCTGATACCGCCATCACTCCGAGTGCTTACAGTTACCGTGAGTAAACAGTCTGGTTGTTTATCTGCTTCTTTTCCCATCTTCAATAATTTGATTAAATAGTGATGTTAGATGGGGTTGGTCTGTAGATCTCTTAGATAGGCCATATTTCTAAGCACTTCTCTACTCTTTAAGGAGAATGAACATCACGTCACCGCGGATAGCAATGCAGCCGCTACAGAACATGTCAGTGGTAGTGATTCGGGAGAGATGCGTCGCCTTGCAGAGGAAATGGAGAAACTCCTTGTCGATCGCAGGTTTGCTCTTTTGTTTTATATGGACCTACATCAAAGAATATTCTCCAATTTTCAACCATTACAGAGAAGCAGATGCTCAAGTGTCTCAACTTGAGGCTGATATGAAAGTGAAAGACAGCCAGATTAAAAACCTTCAAGTATGTCATACGACTTATTGATGGAGCCAAACTTTTTTGCTTATATTCTGAATATTAGATGTATTTAGGTTGAACTTCGTACGCTTGAAGTGACCGTTAAGCAGCTAGAGCGACAAAAAACCGAAGCAGGACGTCGCTTGGGCGATTTAGATGAACAGATTAGACAGCTAGAAGCGGCAGCCCTAGCGCAAGCAAAAAAAGCGGAAGAAGCCCAGACCAGGCTTAACCAATTGGTGGAGGACACGCAGAAGGACGCTGCTCATGCTGAGGTGCTTAATCTGTGGAATTTCGTTGAAAATGTGGTGTGGAAGAGGCCTGTGGTCAAACAATAAGTTATTATCTTTTTTTGTGAGCAGTTGCTTGAGTTGCTTCAGCTAGTTTAATGTAGTAAGGCCACTCATAACATCACCAAATATTGAGCAAAGATGGGAGGGATAAAGTGACTAGCAATCATCATGGTGTAATTACAGGCTGATCTACAAGAAATTGCGCAACTGAAGGCCGAACTAGCGCAGCTCGAAGTAGAGCGGCTCAATCTAACGAGTCAATTGAGTCGTGAGCAGAAGGGAATGGAAACAGCAGTAGATAGAATCACTGAGGTTTGTGACATTCGTACTTTGTATTCTACTGCATTGAGCAGTTGTTAGGAATACATCAATGCTTTTTTTTTTGCTTAAACTTCTACGATATCGAAGACGTCTTGCACACAATTCTATTTATTTTTTCGGGATACTGAAGTTGTTAGGGATTTATAGGGACAGTTGTACTTTGTTGTTGATTTTTCTTTTCGCAAATGACTGCTTAGTGCCTTTCNTATGAAGAATGTGATTATTGTCTTTGACGCTTCCTGGCAAAGTGAATCGTTGAGAATTTTGAGTGGAATTCATGAGCTTTTCGCCCCTCCTTTATCGATCCTGCTTTGGAGCTTCTCCTTGAAGCTATCAGTGCACCCAGCGCTCCCTGCTTAGAAGGAAAAAAATTCCAACTTCAAACCCTTTACGTCTGGACCGAGGAATAATACATAGTACATGTTAGAGTTATTTGTTGAAATTTTGGTGGTTTAGCAAATAGCGTTGCATTTTTACTAGAAGCACACTCTGGAAGCCTGCATATATGATCTGTCAATGATACATTTCTTTCTTGTTCAGTCGATGAACTTTATTCGTTGTTGTTTACTGAATCCATATTCTTTTTCTTCTTATAATCCACTGCTATGATTGAATCAATAACACTTTTCGATTCGTTCAGGTAGAACGAAAAAGGCAGCGTGACGAAGCTCAACGTGTCCAACTCAATGAGGCTATCGCACATGCGGAAAACATTGTTAATGATCTGCAAACAGTTCTTAAATCGGCGGATCCAACAACCGCGTTGTCCGCAAAGTTGAATCTTTTGGAAGATATTTCTAGAAAGGATTTGGTGAGGAATCCGGCTTTCTTAATTTTTTCATTGTTATGATTAATAGTAAATGAGTAAACAAGCTGCAATACTGTGTAACTTATTATAGTGTTGCGACGGCTACATAACTTTCATGTTGTTGCTGTTGTTGTTAGTAATGCTAAAATGATTTTGCGGAACATTGCTGCTTATCCTTTTCAGTCATTTTTTTTTCACCATTTTCCAATCGGTTACATTTTACCTATAATCGTGATCAATTTGGATTCGGTGTTGAATTTCTTATACTGTTTCAGTTTAACGACGTCCCGTTTTCGGTAGCATCAACGTCGAAACAAGCCGTCCAACAACCGCCTGACCCTTTTATTGGTGTTCAGACTGGTTAGTTAGAACTCGCATATTTATGAAGGAAGTTGAATCCTAGCTTATTTGTTTGCTATAGGCAGTGTCCAACACGTGGACCCGTTCGCTCAAACAGACCCATTTGCTGCTGCTGCCGCATCAGGTAATATTCCATATGAAACTATTTTCTGCCAGTAGTGTGATATGAAGAGTAGTTGCAGGGAGCTTTGCTACCCAGTTCCCTCAAGATCCATTTGGAGGTACAGCCGCTGTGGGAGGTCCGTCTATAGGCACTGTGAGTTCCTTCCGTAGCACGCAGAATGCTACCCGTAGTCAACGACATTTCCTTCGTGAATTTGTTTCTTATTCTTCTTGAATATTCTCCATTGGTCGTGGTCTTTGAAATAGGAATAGCATACCATGTTATTTTGTCAAAGTTTTTCGTTGGCATTGACCTTAATCAGCGTATCGACGGTGGCGCTCAAAAATTCATAGGAATTCTCAATTTGATTTTCTTCAAAGACTTAAAAAAGTTCTCTTGTGTCTCTTGTGTGTAGAGACCAGAAGTGTGATATTATTTACTACTTTCCGTACAAAACCCAATCCATCTATGATGACGGTTTTAGACCGGAGTTATGCCGCCTGGGCCTTCGATAGGGGCCTCTAAGGCCCCACCTCCCCGCCCTGCGCCGCCGAAATCCAGTGCTCGTCAAACTCCTGTCAATGGAGATCCATTTGCAAACACGTAAGAACTTTGCCTTTTCATTACAATGCCACAAATGCGGCTGGTTTCTTTCAGTGATCCATTTGCCTCTGACACCACGGCAGGCACTACAACTGGAGGATTCGCTGATTTTTCAAGTTTCGGAGCTTTTTAAGCTAGTATGTGATGACATTTGATTCGTGCGGAGTGGCGGCGTCAGTGTCACTTTCGCTGTGACTGCTAGATACTCATGAGTAATGTTAACGTAACTACCAGGCTGTGGGAATATGAAAGAGTGCTGAATTGGTTTTTGTCTCCTTTTCCCAGTACCGGGCTGCATAAGTTCCTGCAACATTACACTACCGTAATGGCTTGGTACCAGTAGCTCAGGTAGTTGCCGCGTGCTTGGAAACTATGAAAGCTTTGCAGGTAGTGAACATGGTTGAGGTTGAGCGGGGGAACTGATATTGTTTTGATCAATTCTATCAACACGTTAAGCGCTCTTTCCTATTTCTTCATTCTAATGGAATGCTTTTCCACATATGTACCTACCAGTGTTATTTTTAACAAAGCCTAAAGTAATATCTTGCAATAAGTTATTAATTTATTTAGTTCTTAGGTTTGTAGTTTTGTGTAGTTCGACGGAATTCGATGATATTTGCGGCAAAATGTTGGAATAAGACATTAATTTATTCGATTTCTAAGCTGTAGCTTTGTGTAGCTTGATAAATTTTATAGATGTAATTGACTGTTTTCATGTGCACATCAGCTCAGCCAAAAGCTTGTATTCGAAAAATGCGAAGTTAATCGGAGGCGATTCGGGGTCACCTCCAAACACCACTTCACGGCTCTAAAATAGTCCGGCGAGCTCCCGCAGTCCATCCAGCCTCCTCATGAGAGCCTGCCAAACTACACATGGGAATCCATATGCTAAAAACCGTAGCGTAAATGAGCCTCATTATCCTGAAGCTGAGAGAGCGCCAATGCGGCGGCGTTTCGTAAAACCGCTTATAAGGGGCTACTAGAATCTTAGGGCCATAATAGGCCACATAAAAGGGAAGGGCAGTTGAACTGACTTTTTCGAACTTCTGTGAAATAAAGTTAACCTATCAAGTAAGCGGATCTGACGTTGCAGTCGAAGTCAGCACTAACGGGACATACATCGTAAAGTATCTCCTAAATTCTGATGGTACTACTTCCCCTTCCTCTAAACAGGGCATGGGCTCGGGATCTTCACTCACTCTGGAAACCAGGATGATGGCAGGGGTGGTATTGTGGCGAACTGCGCACCATCATATACTCATGTTTCGGGGATCGGATTTCTGCTCGACGCACAGCCAGGCCAATCAAGCCTTCCATCTCTACGTGTTCGGCTAATTGGCACCCAATTATTCAGAACGCTGAAGTGGAAACTGGTAGTGCGGAGTCTTAAATGCCAGGTTTTGTCGGTAGTCAGGAACGTAGGTCGTACTTTCATTGGATGAGCCAAGCATAAACATCTCAGTTAGCTCCACCTTTACTTCTATTACACGGCAACTCTCTATGACCTGCCACAGAAACTAAGAGAAAAAAATCACTGCCGAAAACTTTTATCGAAATGTAAACACCTTGATAGGAAAAGTTCCGTCTTGCTGCAGGTGTAAGGACGGTCTCGTGTCTAGGTGTACATCTTAAATTGGACAAAAAAAANNNNAAAAAAAAGACTGTGAAGAAATACTAATAGAAACAACTTGGAAGGCTACAAAAATAAGTTATCATAGACAAAAGAAAAGTCGTCAATGTAGGCCAATTGCTGCCACTGATAACTTGAAAAAATCTGATAAATTCGTAATAAATTGAGAAATGTGGGGTGAGTAATAACTTGTAAACCATACCATTAAAGGATATGGAATAAAAAGATAAAACACGTAGTTCACAAAAAATAATAAGACATTCAGGGGGTCCACTTAGCTGAAGGTTACATTCGAACCTGTAGGGTTAAACATTCACGCAAGAGTACTTCCACACTTTTGGCTCTGTCCTCAGCACACGTAGTTAAAAAACGGAAATTGATTTTGCGCGTTGTCAATCAATATCCATCTTTCACATACACGCGCTGAAGGGAAGATCCCAAGTGTGAGAGTAGTCTAAAACACCTCGTTAGCATGCTCTGAAGGCGAGTCTAAGAGAGCACGTCAAAGCGGCTATGGTGAACTGAGGAATAGTAGAACATGTAGACGTTTAACAATAAAAGGTTAGAAAACCCATTACTGGGCCGTAAGAAGGTCTAGAAAATGTGGGTCCTCCATTTGACATTGTAAAAACTACATAAGAGATGGGCCATAATGGCGAGTCTGAGTGGGTCCGCCGAATCCTCTTGAAGCTCTGTTGCTGTGGTGAGGGGGACGAGGAAGAACCTGCAATAAAGCAATTTTTAACATGACATAAAAAACTTTATGTATCGTGGGACCGATCGCAAGGCCTATCCCGAGCGCATTAAGAAAGCAAACTGAGCATCCGAATAGGGGCACTCATAGTGCGACGCCGAAAGTCGCAGAAGTTATGTTTTCATGTTTCTATACGTCGCCTTTTCTTAGGGTGGCAGAGCTTCCCCCCGATATCCCGCGTTTGCGGCCAATCATTTTTAGTTGTCTCGCGGATACAAACTGCAATACAGTACTGAGCCCTCCTCCCGCCAATCGATAGGACGTATTTTTCGTTGGCTGTCTGTCTTTTTCGTTTGGCTTTGAATCTTTCTGTTTGTTTGATTTAAACCTAATACAGTGCATTTTGGCTTCCGTGTGCAAAGCAAAAACTTGTTTCTTCGCTATTATCGACGAACAAGACCGCATTGAGATTGAAGGAAGTGGTCAGCAATTACAAATAGGTAAGGGATTCCCTAACTCATAGATTGCGCGCTCCAATCTGCCACCGTGTTTGTGCGATACGCCGCGGGCAAGGCGAGCGCAACGCAGTGTTCGGCGGGAGGATGCCGCACCCCTTTTCTTATCTTTTTCAAGAGAGCATTTATACTAGTCATTGAGGGCTCAACCGGCACAGCTTCATAGAGTACTTATTCCAAAATAAGTTGAAACGTATGGCTTAGGTGTTAATAAAGATCCTGCGCTGCAATCAGTGCTTACCTTGGTTTGATCTCCCATGCGAACAAGAGGACGATGTTCCATACGTCTCGATCCAGCGCGATAGTGTACACGATCCCAGCAGAACTCACAATAGTACTGCAAAGAGCACCTCGCTTGAAAACATTAAGGGATGTAGTGAAATGTTCTGAATGCTGGGTATGGGACAGGAACTACCACCTTGGTCATTGTGTGTGGCATATAGACAACATTCTTAGGAATGGCCTGTAAGCCATTTGTGGGGGCCTAGTTTTACACTCACTGGCCCATACATTAAAGGGGTTTTATTTTAGACATTCGATAAAAGAAGCAAACTGCCCGACATGCGCGTTCGCTTGGCCGTACTAATGATTTTCGTTCTTCGTCTCTGTGTATGGTACCATAGTTGCCATGATCGCCCACTTTGTTGCGTGTCTCTCTGCCAACAAAAAGGCCGAATACCTTACTACAAAAATAATATTGTATAATGCCCGACGTGTGTTTGTGTGTGGCGGTGTGTGTCAATATGTGTGTCAGTAGATGTTCGTCCACGAACTCATAACTTCATCTCCCCTGGAACTCAATTTTTTAGGAGTACAGATGGCGGGATGCAGGGCTGAACTCCCCGATAGCGGGCAAAAATGAGTGTTCGATCGGAAATTCGTAATTCCTGTTTCCTTTGACCTGGAGCGCTCGATCTCAAAAGGGGTGAAATGATTCGGATGGTGTCGGGGCTTGAGCCCGACTTTTTAAAGGGTCACATCTAGTAGGGCGTGCGGGGACCCCGGCGCGAAAGGCTTCTGCGCGTCGGCTAGAGTAGATGCGTGCTTTGACCTAAAAACATCAATGCGTCTACCTTGTCGCCGTCAAACTCAGCTGCGACTGCAACACCGTCATGCCAAGTCGAGGATACGATGCAATAAGATTAGCTTCGCAGGGATCGACTCTTGCACGGAAGTCCGAGGGCGCCGAACGGTTCCAAGTCACGTCACTCCTCAATTCGTAACGCTCTGAGTTCGAGCCTCATGACGCATAGGATACTTGGTTTCTGTCGTGATATATACTTAATGAGGTGGTCGGGTGTTCCCCTTTTTTGATATACATATCGTATTTCTGCTATTTCATTTTTTTGACGTGTCTTAGATATATAGGACTACTTCGAATACTGTACTAAAAAGGCAACATCGTAGTCGGTGCACATGCCCTGAGATGTTCCCGTTTTGAACGATGTAGTTGGGCCGTACATGGGTTACATGGGCCGTGGGACGTCGCTCGCGTATCGGGATGGTTGAGCGTTAGACTAGGATAGGGGCCGCGAGGACCAAAGCAACATCTCGCGTGGCGTGGGGCGAGAGCGAGCGCCGCATAAGTGTTCGAGGAAACCCTCACGCCGACGTCGACGCCGCTCCTAACAGCGGCGAACCCTGATGCCCACTCATAGCGGGAAGCAAGGCGTCGCCTCCGGCGCAACAGAAGGGAACACACAAAATAGTGGCACATTCGGATTCCGTTCATTCCACCCTAGCGAGCGTGACCTTCTCGACATTGTCCCTTAGCTCTAGAGCTTTCTAACTTGGAAACCTTTTTGAACTGTGCCTCTGATACAAAGAAATTCGGAAAATTCAGTCAGACACCTGCAGACAGTCAACATCTCCGCAAAAATACGGTGCATAACGTGATGAGCACTGCTTGCCTTCGCAATGGTCGCACATCTGCTCATCCATGACATATGGTTTGATTTCAACCTGAAAATCGTTTTTCTAGTTGCCTGTAGTTAATCCATGCAACTCACTACCGAATTTCAGAAAAGTGATTCACCATATTCCTTGTTACCGTTTTCTCAGGCGCTCTTCAAGGGGCTGGCTTGGTTCTGCTTTTCAAAGCACGAGTGAAAAATTAGTGGAAGAAAACGACACAAAAAGTGTCGGTACGTCGGTGGTGCTCATAAGATTCTTCAAACTAGACACTGTCACCCCATTTACGGTATGTGCCGTAGATTATGAAGGCATCGATTCCAGGCGCTTCTTCAAAGGTCAAGCTCGAATGGCGTCGAAAAAGTTATTGCTACTACTAGTAGTAATAACTTTTTCGACGCCATTTGAGCTTGGTCCCCTGCCTTTCTGGCTGTGGTGAAATAAGCAGTCATGTCAGGCTAGGTAGATTACTGGCTCGTAGTAGTGAAAAGAAAAGCTGCAATGAACGTACTCTTTTCTGTGAATCACCGTGGTGTACGTGTACGAAGCGTCCGTTGATTGCTGCAATAAATGCCTGCGTCGTAACAAACGTCACTCGTGCTGCACCTTTGGGATATTTAAGCTCAGGATCGATGTCGATTCCAACATAACACACTGGACCATAGAGACGCTCCAGACATTCAGCCAACTCACCTACAAAACCTAATTTTGCAGAGAGTCCCATGAATTGCTCCTATGTGATCACCAGTTACGCGTGGGTGAGCGTAACAGCAGGGAGAGTTTCCAAATAGAGCTCTGCATTTTTGGTTTGAGCTCCGCCTACCTGGACGCACGTCTCGCCCAATGCAAAGGTTTACCACTCTATCTTTGATAAACTCAACCCACTTTTGAACAGACGTTGTAGTAAAGTTTTTCGAACAGAAGTATGGTAACACGAGTACAGTTGAAATGATATGCGCTGAAGTGAGCAGAGCTATGATCGAAGTTCATAGTTCTGTTCGAAAAACCTTATTAAAACAGGCGGAGTGTCGTCTGGTTTAGGCATGCCTAGTAATCCTTGATCCTTGTTTTTTTCCTTGCTCACACGCTCAAAAATAAATCGACTTATGAAGTTTTTAGTTAATATCGCCCACTGTGGATATATCTTCTTCACGTCTCTGTTTCGTTTCGTTTTCGTTTTGTTTCGTTTCGACCCAATCATCATTTTTGCTCATTTATTCCTAGTGCCTAGTTCTTTCTGCAAAAATCAGAAACCTCAACTGTTGCCTTATACTCCGTTTATCCCGAACTTCAAGGCTCAGTTCACGTTAAAAGGTGGTTTCCTAGATTTTCCCTCAGGATTACTCACTGGCCCCAAGAGTAACAGAATGAGTCGAGCTAGGGCATAGTACACTGCGGTGCACAATAGATTACACTTTATAAAAAACCTAATTTTTGAGAGGAGTCGAAACTTCTAATGCCTCTGCCGCAGAATGTTATATGTGAAGGGAACCAGATAATTTTGACACGTCGATAGATGGCAGTACCTTTGAAAAATTCAGGCGGGGCAATATCGACTATTCGGCGGTGCACAATAGATTGGACGACTTGTGGTAATTGATTGATTCGACTCTTTCTTCCCTGTATCTGGAGGCTGCACATGCTTACATGTTTGCTTTTTAGGCATGCGCAGATATACGCGGCTTACGAACGAAGACCGGATTCGAATTGGCGCGTCACGTCACTTCAGAAAAAGTTACCTTCAAATTTCTAGAGAGCTCAATATTCCTAAGAGCACAGTTGCGAGTGCCGTAAAGAAGCAATGTACAAATGTTCGGAAGAAAAGCCAGGACGAAAATCAACTCTTTCTGAACGCGACAAGCGTCGGTTGATCAATATGGCATCAAACTCTACGAGAACTGCGAGGGAGTCAGCTACAGGTTGTGGGATATCGATTTCAAAGTGGGCTGTTGCTCGCTTCCCGAATCCATCGGACCATCGTAATTTATAGCTTCTCAGAAGATGAGTACGGCACCACGGCTAACACAGAGTCATCGAGAGAAAGGGCTCTTCTCTGCTAGGAATGAGATGGACAGAGATTGGACAAAGGTGTGTTTTTGAAATTTGCTTAGCTTTATGAGAAACTTGAATTTTGAGAACCACTCGTATTGGCGCGATCTACGAGGAGAACCACCACCTAAGTCCTAGAGGAACTTCGCCGCTTCTCGTTGATGGTCTGGAGAGGGTTTTAAAGCGACGGCACCGTTGGTATTCAATTCACGTCTTGTAAAATGGCAAGCCAGGACTACCAGTAACTTCTTCGGGAAACGTTGGTGCCATTCATCATAAAGAACACCAAAAGAAGCACGTCTTTATGCAAGTCAACGCTTCAATTCACGCTGCGCGGCGTACTCTATCCTATTTGCAGTCCAATACGAGGGTTGCCTTTTATATTTTGAGATTTGGCAACACTAGGGTAGCAATCTAGCAACTGACGCCACTACCGTAAAGTTTGACTATTCTGAGGTTACGTTGCAAAATTTGAGCGCGATTTGTATTGTTTACACTAAGTTATAAGATTTTGTTTAGGCCAGGTTATGGGGTTGAATCGTGAGCATTATCGCGCGATTATTTTCTACAACTTTCGTCGTGGACTAACTCAACAGCAATGCATGGATGAACTTAGTTCGATTTTTGGTGATGAAGCACCATCCAGAGCCAGTGTTTATCGATGATACAGTGAGCTCACCCGAGGTCGTAGTTCACTCGAAGAAGAATTTCGTGGAGGTCGTCCAAAATCAGTATTGTTCCGGAAACCTTTAATACTGTGCACAAACTAATATTGCAAGATCGTCATGTGACCTATCATGAGATTGGGACAACCATAGGCATTAGTGGGACCAGCACACATTCAGTATTGCATGAACATTTGACTGTAAAAAAAATGTTTTTGAAAAACTTGTCAATTTCCCAAAAAAGGGACTCGTGTCGATTGGTCGAAAGAAATGCTCGAAAAATACGATCGCGGTGCTTCGAAACACGTCTATGACATCGAGACAGGTGGTGGATCATGGATTTATGCGTATGAGCCCGAAAGGAAACAACAGTCGACCGTATGGGTATTTCAAGATGAGCCAAATCCAACAAAAGCTGTCCGCGCCCAAGCACTTCCGAGCAATTGATCTCGTGTTTCCTTGAAAAAACTAGACATGTCCCAACCGTACCACTAGGACAAGCAGAACAGTCAATTCTGAGTGGTATACCACCATTTGTTTGCCATTTGACTTCCAAAAAATCAGGAAAACCAACTGTTGAAGACGGATCACTTCTCAAAACAACTGCATTTTTGAGCACTCAGAACAACGATTTGACAGGTCATAAGCCATGTAGTTCCCGGGTGACTTCTTCGCATCCCGTACGTAAAAAATAAAGTGAGACGCCAACGTTTTTCGACACCTGAAGAAGCCGTTGATGCGATCAGAATCCATGTTTCAGAGTTACATACATACATCAGAGTGGCAGAATGCTCCGAAAATTGGTTCGAGCCCATGCAAAGGTGTATAGATCTTAATGTGGAGATTGTTGTAAGGCAGTAAAGCGGTTTTCAATAAATAGAATTTGTTTCTATTCTCAAATCTCAAAATATAAAAGGCAATCTACGTATCATTCCGTTATTGTCATGGCCAGCATGTAGCCCGGACCTATACGCCATCGAAAATATCTGGGGTGTATTGATCCGTAAAATCTATGCAATGGTAAGGTGTATGACAATGTTAAATCGTTGAGAAGAGCCATAGCTATGGAGTGAAGTCTGTCGCCTGTTCTTCTGAAGAAGCTCTGCGATTCAACGCCTGATCAAATCTTCGAGCTTATTCGGAAGAAAGGAGGTTGCACTCATTATTAGTTAATCTTACAACAGAAAACGGATTGATCGGATTTCAAGAGTTGTTCTTTTTGGCTGACTATGCATATCGTCAAATCTAATATGCACCTGCTTAAAAAGTGTGAAATTGTTGCTGAGATTTTGAAAAAGTTATGTAGTCAAATAGTTACCACGAAAATCAATCTTTTCTCCATTCTAATCTTATATTGTCAGCGGAAGCAATAAGAACTTTGGCCTCTCTCTAAAACTAGTTTTTCTATAGTAAACGATCTATTGTACAACGTAGTGTAGGGCCCCATTACCAGATCGGTCGGATGCCACGCCCATGGACCGATGATGGGTTGGACGTGTGTCGAGGTGATACAGATTGCAATATTGGCTCCAGGACTGATACACAATCAACTGCTATTTTTGGTATTGATAGCGCTTTTGTTAGCCTTCGCTCAAAAGTGAATTAAATTCAAAGGACATTTTTGCTTACTGTAGTCAGATGCTCGCACCAAGATCCACACGTAAGCAATGGCACATGTTGTATAGATCGTCCAAACATCTCTTCTTCATTTTTTTGGCCTCATTCTCGTCCAGCTCCCATTTCAATGATTTTCTCGAAGCCTTTTTCAAATTTAGAACCGATCCGCGCACTTTCTTCATCTTCGCCGCTCTACTTTCCACCCTCTCTTTCATTTTTTGTCATAATCTGGATTACATAGAATTATCGTGAACTTTACGTTCGACTCAAGCTCTCAGATGGACGGAAGCGAGCACTTCATTTACACTGGTGACTTTG